AGAGGAGGTAAATGGGTTTCTTGATCAGACTTTTGGGAAATCTGTCAAATTGGCAGATTATTTTGATGTTGATAAATTTGTGAGGTCAGCTGTGATGTTACAGAAGACGGTGGGGTTAGACCAGTTGAGTGAGAAGAAGCGGTTTCGCTTGAGGAAATGTGTTACTGCTGTTGCAGCAGCAAAAGGTGGTGGGAAACGTGGTCAGGTTAAGAGAACATTTAAATAATGATGATGATTATGCCTCATAGGGTGTTATATTCTCTTTGTCTGGTTTCTCTGTGGTTTCTTCTGCTTTTCCTTTTTATTTTCTATATGGAGGTACTAAGGGTAGGTTCTCTCAATATTAATGGGGGAAGGGACAGGAATAAGAGGGCTTGGGTATTAGAAGTAATAAAACAGAAAAGGCTTAATGTAGTTTTCCTACAAGAGACACAGTGATGAAAATTAGGTTGACTGGGGTATGTGGTGGGAGGGGCAGCATATACTCAGTCATGGTACTAATTTCAGTGCTGGGGTGGCAATCTTGTTTTCTTCAGGCTTAGGGGTGCCTGTGGTATCTACAACAGAGATTGTCAAGGGTCGGGTTTTATTGGTCAAGGTGGATGTTATGTTTTTATTTTTTTATTTTATTTTTTATGTTTATGCTCCTAATGAGGGTACAGAGTGTATTGTTGGTTTTGATAAAATAAAGGAAACCTTAAGACAGTGTGACCAAGAAGGGTGTATGGTTTTAGGGGGGGACTGGAACTATACAGTGGATTTTACTGTTGATCGCACCGCTGAAGAACCTCATCTGCGGTCAGCCACTTGCCTGTCTGGTCTGTTAACTGAGTTTGAGCTTTCTGATGTGTGGAGAGTAAGGAATGCAAAAGTTAGGCAGTACACATGGCTGAAAGTTAATGAAGGTCATGTCAGTGCAGCATGGTTAGACAGGTTGTATGTATCTGAGCAATACTGTAGTAGGTTTGGAAGGTGTGACATTACTCCTGTGGGTTTCTCTGATCACCATATTGTCACTGTTGATATTCACTTGTCCTGTCCACGAAGGTCATCATCTTTTTGGTATTTTAATGTTAAATTGTTACATGATGTCATGTTTTGGGAAAGGTTTTTGTTGTTTTGGGAGAAATGGAGGGTTACAAAAGGGAATATTGAGTCCTTGAGACAATGGTGGGAGGTTGGGAAGGCCCAAATACGATTATTTTGTCAACAGTATACTGCTCTGTCTCGAATTGAAGTTAAAGAGACTATCAGGGCCCTTGAACAGGACATAAAATCTATTGAATTGAAGTTGCTCACCCCGGACTAGTCATGAACTTACAGGACAAGAAACATGAACTGAGGTCGTTTCTGCATGAAAGAGTGAAGGTGCCTTGATTAGGTCTCGTTTCGCTTCCCTCAAGGATATGGATGCTCCTAGTGCTTTTTTTTTAACCTAGGACAGTCGACATTGCAACGTAAACAGATGGTCTGCCTTCGTCTCCCTGATGGGAAGGTGACCACGGATGACAGTGAAATGCGTCAACATGCCGTGGATTTCTATTCTGTCCTCTATAAGGTGGAGGATCGTGACTCTCTGTGTACTGAACAGTTGTTACACGGTCTTCCTCAATTGGGACCTGAGCAAAGAGTCGCATTGGACTCTGACATTACACTGCAAGAGCTGTCCACAGCAGTTATGCAGCTCTCAACAGGCCGAGCCCCTGGCATTGATGGTTTACCATCTGAGTTTTATAAGCACTTTTGGGGGTCTATTGGGGAGGATTTTTATGAAGTGGTGTGTGAATCTTTTCATGAGGGCTCTCTTCCTGTATCTTGTCAACGTGCGGTACTTTCACTGTTGCCAAAAAAGGGGGGATTTGGCTCTCATAAAAAAATTGGAGACCTGTTGCTTTGCTGTGTGCAGAATATACAATTGTTTCTAAATGTCTCTCAAACAGGTTGAAAGAGTATCTGGGATTGTTGGTCCACAAGGACCAGTCCTACTGTGTACCTGATCGCTCTATTGTTGACAACTTGTTTCTAATAAGAGATGTTTTAGACATTTGTAAACTGTCTGATGTAAATGTGGGTTTACTTTTTTTGGATCAGGAGAAGGCTTTTGATCGTGTGGACCACCAGTACTTGTTTAAAACAATGAAAGCCTTTGGGTTTGGGGATGTTTTTTTGTCTTGGATGAATTTACTGTATGCTGGGGCCTCGTGTATGGTGAAGGTGGGGGGTGGTTTGAGTTGCTCCATCCCTGTCCAAAGGGGCATCAGGCAGGGATGCCCAATTTCAGGGCAGTTATATAGTCTGGCGATTGAACCAATGCTTTGTTTTTTAAGAGCGAGGCTTACTGGTTTCTCTGTGCCAGGGGTTATGAAGGGTCCCACGATAGCACTGTCTGCGTATGCAGATGACGTGACAGTTTTTATTACAGGGGGTGAGGATGTTAAGGTTCTCTCAAATGCTTTAAAGGTGTATGAGGGGGCCTCCTCAGCTAGAGTCAATTGGGGAAAGAGTGAAGCGCTGTGGGCAGGCCAGCTTCAGATGGGGTCCACTCCACGGTTACCAGGGGGGCTTCAGTGGGGCAGAGATGGGATGAAGACTTTGGGGTTTTTTCTAGGCTCCGATGTCTTTCAGAAAAAGAACTGGGAGGGTGTAGTGGAGAAAGTGTGTGCCAGACTGTCAAGATGGAAATGGGTGCTGCCCCAGCTGTCTTATAGGGGAAGGGTACTGGTAGCTAATAATCTTGCTGCCTCTACCCTGTGGCACAGACTAATGATTTTGCAGCCACCAAAGGGTCTGATACAAGAGCTTCAGAGGACCCTTGTCAATTTCTTCTGGTCTGGACAACATTGGATTAAAGCTTCAGCCCTGTACTTGCCACTGCACGAGGGTGGGCAAGGCCTGGTGGACATTTCTTCCAGGATCATGGCATTCCGGCTTCAAGCAGCACAGAGACTGTTGTACAGTGACGGTTCTAGCTGGGGGTTGACACAGCCTACACATTGATGAGGAGAGCGGGCTGTTTGGGCTTAGACAAGCACCTTTTCCTCTTAAAGCTGGAGGGGGGTGAGTTGCCTGGCCTGACTCCATTTTATGAGTCTGTTATGCAGGCTTGGAGAGTTCTGGTCAAGTCCCGTAAGGCCTGCACGCCACCAGGGATGTGGCTTTTTGAAGAGCCTCTTTTTCATAACACTGCCATCCAGTCCCGTGTTCTGGGTTCAGCTAGCCTACGTTCATGCCTGTTAGGTGTGGGGTGTACTAAGCTGGGTCATCTGATGCGGAACAGGAATAGGTCGTTGGAGGAGCTGGGAGAAAGAGCGGGGATCCGATCGTCGGGCCTACTGAGGAAGGTCGTTGCTGAGGTCTGTGACTCCTTGCCAGTACTTCATCTGCAGTATGTGACTGACACTTCCAATTCTGATCGGTGGAAGGAGGGTCTGGATTATGTGTTCCCTGCACTGATTGTTAGTGCTGCGGCGGGGGCATTCGAGGAGGACGTGGGGATGCTGCTTTCCTTTGATACCCCGGAGCTGGGGGAGTTCAAGGAGGTGGGAAAGAAGGCCATGTACAGAATATGTGTAAAGGTGTCCCATGCCTCTTCCCTGGAAGGGGTAAAATCGACGAGGTGGGCGGGTGTGCTTGGTCCAGGTGCCTCCCCCAAAAGGCTGTTGGCGATCATTATACAAACTGCCTATTGATAAGAGGACAGCTGACCTCCAGTGGAGGATAATACATGGAGCCATTGCCACCAACATGCATCTGGTACACCTGGATCCTACTGTTGGGGAGGAGTGTCCATTCTGTGCTGAGTCTGAAACTCTGGCACATCTGTTTTTACAGTGTCCCAGGTTGGTCGGGATGATTGACCTGATCACTAATTGGTTCTCAACGTTGGGAGAGGTTTTCTCTTCTCAACTGTATATATTTGGGCCAAAGTAGAGGTTTAGCCAAAAAGGTGTAGTTGTGTTGCTTAATTTTGTGTTAGGGGCAGCAAAATTAGCGATATGGAAGACCCGAAAGAACAGTATTCGGGGACAGGGGTCTGTGGATGTGGTGGGAATGCTGGAGGGAATGTTGGCAGCGAGAATAAGGGTTGAGTTTGCCTATTATAAACTTGTCAACAATATTGATCTTTTTATGAGTATATGGGGTATTCAGAGGATGTTGTGTTTAGTTACTGTGGAGGAGGAATTGGAGTTGTGTTTTTAATTGATGTGTAACTACGGTTTTGTATGAGTATTTATTGTGTGGTGGGCTCCCAGACCCAGTAAAGTTTATTTAAATCTCTCTCTCTCTCTCTCTCTCTCTCTCTCTCTCTCTCTCTCACACCACACACACACACACACACACACACACCACAGCAGCAGGAGGGGGGGGGGGGGGGGGGTGGTCTCAGGGGACCAGTCCCATAGAGCTACAGAACACACACTATTTACACCCATTAGGCATCTAGAGTTTCCCTCCGGAATTGGTTTTCTCTCTTGTCCTCTGATGATATGCAGCCTTCTTCAGCAAATGCTTCCTGGATGTCTATTCATCACATTTTTTTTTTCTCCATCTTTAGCGTGTGCATCTCTTATTAAAGCCAGCGCATACAAATCCATGAGGGCAATCAAAACAAATGACAGAAATATGAAAGCGAGCCTTTTGATGTCTGTCAGGTACAAGGTTTTAAATATAATGGGCTCAAAGCTTGTCAGAGCAAAAGTAAATAGATTGCTGTGTTTACCCTACATTTCCAGGTGCTTTCCAGACAGAAATGGTTTTGAGAGCAGGAGAACTCAGTGAGAGTATACGGCTGTGCAGGCTGGATATACAAAAGGCAGCAGAAGCAGCAGGAACTAACTACACTTGCACTGCATCCTCAATACCCCATGAAGAGACAAACAATCAGGCCAGTTATGCTGAATACATCTATTTTGGAGACCTGAAAGCAGACCAATCCATCAACACACCTATCCATTACACACCAAGCAATTCTTTCAACTTTGTGAAATGTCACCTGATGACTAAGTTTGGGTTTTAATGATGGGGGAGAGGGAGAGATAGTAGGAGGGCTGACCTGCAGGCTGGGTGCAGAAGTCCACAGAGATCTCCCTCTTTTCTCTGTGCTCCAAAGGCAGCTGCCAAGGCATCTGGTGTGTCCGCGCCACAGCCTTCACCTTGTAAACAGTCATGGGCTTCAGTTGGAAGAACTGGTACTTGTAGGCCCCTGCCTTCACCATGTCATACTCAGCCTCGTTCAGGAAGATGGTGTGGCTGTAGTTGCTGTTGCTAGGCTGCCAGGAGAGCTCAGCAGAGGTCTGTGTGATGTTGTCCACCCTCAGGTAGTAAGGAGCCACCACCACGTCCCTCCCCACCAGCAGAGTGCAGCGTAGCTCGTCAGACGGGCCCCGCTCCGTGATGCTCTGCACCGAGATGCGGTAGGTGTTGGTGTCCAGGTTGAGCTTTTCAATGAGCGACTTTGTCCTGCCCCCAAAGGGCACGCTCATCCTCACCTCCTTGTCCACCAGGACGTTGTAGCCACTGATGGAGCCCCAGCCGGGCGGCACCACCGGAGGGTCCCAGCACACGATCACACTCTTGGCCAGCTGTTTGATCAGATTGATGCGGCGAGGGTAAGGCACGATGTTTTCACCAATCTCGTCAATGCTGACATCCAGGGTCCCCGTCCCATTGCTGCAGGAACCCATGGAGCCCAGAAAGTCCATGCCCAGGCTGCTGCTGCCCAGGCTAGTCAGAGTGCTGCTCAGACTGGAACCCAGGCCAGTGGAACCGTGACTGGAACCCAGACTGGAACCCATGTGGCTGCCCAGAGTGGACCCATGAGTTGAACCCATGTTGCTGCCCAGAGTGGAACAGTGAGTGGAACCCAAAGTGGAACTGAGGTTACTCCCCAGGTTTCTCTCCAGGTTTCTCTCCATATTTCTCTCTAGGCTGGTCTCCGGGTCCAGCTTACTGTCAGACAGCAGGCTGCTGATGCTGCTCAGGCCCATGCTCCCCCGCCCTGTGGAGCCCAGGCTGCTGTGGTTACTACTGAGGTAGCCTGACTCTTTGGCCCCGTCCCTGTGCTGAGCAGAAGGCATCTCCTCATCCTTAACAAAGTCCACAAAGTTGGAAGGGACGAGGCCCTGCTGTCCATCCAGCAGCTCTCCTGAGGAACAGAGAGAGTATTAACAACAACACTCACTGTGAAGAGCAGTAAGTAGTATTGACAACAGCACTCACAGTACAGTGAAGAGATGACAATCGTAAAAGCCATATTAGCACTGATTGATCCACAACTGCCTAATCCTCGTCTCATCTACCTTACAGTAAATACATCCCATAATCCATGCCATCTCTTAGCAACCACAATCATTCTGCTCTGAAATTATTATTATTTTTTTAATCATGTGGATTGGTTTCTAACAAAGAGAGGGTAAAATACAGTGAGAAATCAGACCTTCATAGAAGCCGTCATCATCCATGGTCCCGTACACATAGAGGTACTTCCCTGCCACCAGGGGGAGCTCTGCCTCAGGATGCTCATTGGGCCCATTACAGGGGTTATAACTAGGGGAAATAAAGAGTAGAGTACAATAGAGTCAAGCTGATGAACTCACCGTGTTGCTGCTCTGAACCCAACACAACTGGAAATGTCTCAGGCTAATTATCTCAGGCTAGATGATGAATTCAGGTTTTAAAAAAATAAAGTTAAAAACCCAGGTTCAAAAAGGGACAATAATTAAGCACAATACTAGGAACAGTGTATGGACAATTAGCTTGTGGCAAAATTTGACAACATTGCCTAGCTAAATCACATCCAACCATTTCCAAACAAATCCAAGCACAGTTGACATTTTGACACAAACCCTGCAGTACCCTTATGTGACTCTGTGAAAGGGGAATTGCTGAGTGCTGCATTAAAACAACTAATATAAAATATAACATTTTCCAACATGCTAAAAGCGAGAAACAGTGTGGGTGGACAGCACTGGGTTTCATTCATGTATTTGCCTTTGTTCTGGGCAATTTTGTTTGGTGAGAGCAGAGCACTGCATCATTATTAAGAGGTGAGTTCAAACCTCAGTGGGACACTGTGGGTGGAAAACACTGCTGAAATGGGCTGTGCACGGATGCATTTTTAAAGGACACTGTAGTGTAAGGCATCTCAAAGCAGCTCCCTCCACTCACCTGTAGCGGGCAATGCACAGACGGACCTTGCCTGTGAACCTCTTCTTGGTCCTAGTCGTTGAGCTTAGTTCTTTGTCCATCTGGTGAGAAAGAACAAACTTTGAGAGATGTAACAACCAAATACAATTGTTTTTTTGTTTTCGCTTATCATATTATTTTCTTAGGATGACCCTAGGTTTTGCTTATGCAATTTAAATCCATTTTATGCTCTCTATGGTGGAAATCAGTGAGACTGATTTGGCCTTTCATGATAGCAGTGCCTATAATCTTCTCCTTTACACACTTGGTAAACCTGCCAATCCTCCCAGCAGAGGAGAGTAAAAGTAAATAGATCGGCCATTTCACACCCCATCCTCTCTGCCTCACTGTGTTTCCTCAGTCCTGCCTTTCGACCGGAGTGGGACTTCAGCTTAGACTTTCATAACAGGAAGCAATTTTGCAATCATGTAATAAATGCTGTAATTATGTAACATTAGTGTAATAAATTCTTTACCATCTTCAGAGGAGTATTTTGAAAGGGCAAGCAAACTATTTAGGTCCATCCCCATTAGGCCTATAAAATCAGGGCCATCCATGCACTCTCCTATTTCAAGAACAGTATTTTTCATGTCAGAGGCTTGACATGGAATGACACTGAATGAGAGGTTAGTTTGAGTTAGAATGAGTGGAGGGAGGGACAGGCAGATGGACGGTGTTAGTAGGGGACCTATTAGGGCCCACCTCGGTGAGGACGGCCCGTTGGGAGCTGCCAGCTCGGCTGCTGCTGTGGGTGAGGAATGTTGGCTTTACAGACAGGAGCTCCGGCTTGTCCCCACTGATCTGGAGTGGTCGGATGAACTCAGAGATCACAGATCTGCTCAGCGGACTCTCATTGCCTGGGGGCAAAACAAAGGAACAGCTCCGATCTGAAATATGACTGCACCTGCTAAAAATCATATTTCTATCTGTGAGTAATAATAATGTCCAAAATGGAGTGCTATATATATATGATGAATTATATATATATATATATATCACAGACTATTATTTCTCCTTTTCATCGTGATTGTCATTATCACCATTCATCATCATCATCATCATCATCAATCATCCATACTTCATTTGATAAGATACCAATAAAAGTAATACATGATACCATATAACATTGCAAGAAACCACAGGATACAACCCATTAACAATTAGAAAAATAAGAATCATAATTGCATTAGTGTTATTAAAAACATGGTCTAAAATACAGATCCTTATGTAATCAGAAGGTGAGTCAGATCCCTGGCACAGGCCCAATGTAAAGGTCAGTATTTTTGGCATGTATTTAATTATTTAAGTTAACAACAAGCATGTGCCAAGCTGTGGTAAAGGTTATGTCATACAGTACCATGATTGATTATTTCACTACTTGTTCTATGTTGATCCATGTACGTCACAAGCGTGGCCTTCCAGATCTCCAATTTCAGGAGCAGCTGCACGTTTCTCTTCCCATCCTCATAATACTGGATTGTTTATTTAAAATGTACTCTGGTATCGTTTTTCTCTACGGCTCCCACTGTCTGATTCAACAGTTCAAACCTCCTGTCACGACTTCGGCCGAGGCTGCATCCCCTCATTCGGGCAGGCTTCGGCGTAAGTCGTCACCGGCTTACTAACCACTGCCGCCCCAATCATCATCACAATTGTCTCGTCTTGTCAATCACACACACCTGGTTCCTATCCCCTAATTAGTCTGTGTATAAGTGTTCCCTCTGCCCCCTTGTCCTTGTGGGTGATTGTTAATTGTGAGAGTAATGTAGCTCGGTGGAGCTACTCATAACATTGTGTTGCCAGGGTAGATTTTCCCCCTGTGCCTATGTATTATTGGATTCCGTTACAGTGTAATTGCCAGGGATGTTTGTTTCCCCTGTGCCTGTTTCGTTGATCGCTATTGGAGCGCATTTGTGTGTCAACGAAGGAATAAACTCTGTATTCGGTGATTACCCTCCTGCGCCTGACTCCTTTCACCACACTCACCACACCTCCCACATACAGCTCACAGATGACGGAAATAACATTATTATTGATATTCTTGTCTATGGGCTGTGGTCGATGACTTACAGTACACAGACAAGCTAAAAACAAAGCTCTTCTGAGATTCCTCTGACCTTTCCCTGTGGGGGCAGCCAACCCGTTGAGGAGCTGGGAGAGGGATTTGTTGGGAGATCCGGGGGTTTCACGCACAGTTAAGGGATCGGTGCCACTGCCAAGGATATCAAACTTTCCAGTCTGTAGCCGAAACTTCTCCAGCTCTTTGGACAGGAGGTTGAACTGCTCACTCTGTGTCCGACATTTCTCCTCCAGCTCTCGGACTTTGGCCTGGCGACAGAGATCGAGTTGGAGAGAAAGAAAGAAAGAGAGAGGGAGAAAGGGAGAAAAATGTAGCGAGAGACAAGAGAGAAAGTAACAGAAGGAAAGAAAGTGAGAGAAAGAGAAAATCTGAAACCCAACACTGTATACTTATCTAAATACACACACATAAAATGAGGTAGGATGAGATATTGGTCTTTAAAAACGTGGGTTTCATTCCTTACAGAGAAAAGGGAGTTGACGCCTTAAAGTTCCTATCAGGCAAAATACAGTCCAGTCATAAACACCTAAACTAGTGACAGTATGCAGATCACATGCAGGACTACAGTTAATGCACATTATTCTATAGAGCAGCCTCTTGCTAAGAGGAAGTATGCATACCAAAAACTGCACTGTGTTCAAAGCGCGGGGAATGCTCCTCAACTTCATTGCACAGAGATAGTAAAATAAAGGCAAGAGTCATCATGAGTTACGAAGCTGACAAAAGAGGGGCAAGAGCAATTCAAAACATCATAGAACCATGCAGTCAAATCCTTGGCTTTCTACAGTGAAATACTGTCTGTAACCACACACCCGCCCGTTGATAGGAGACTATAGTACAATGGGAGCACGGGCAGGCCTAGCAGAAACCCCAGGGGTGCCCAGCTCATGATCTGCTCTTGGGCAGGGGTAAGTGTTCAGTGTTAACCATTACATTTTACATTTTAGTCATTTAGCAGACGCTCTTATCCAGAGCGACTTACAGTTACTGAGTGCATACATTTTTCATACTGGCCCCCCGTGGGAAACGAACCCACAACCCTGGCGTTGCAAGCGCCATGCTCTACCAACTGAACTACAGGAGGCCTAACCATGAAATGTAGACAGACAACCCCTTATCACATAAACCCAAATCAGCCCGTTCATCAGACCACCCTGAGAGTGTTGCTAAAGCTACCATGTCATTCGCTGCATGCACTCCCCAAAGCACAGTGATGCCTAATGCACGATGTCTATGGCATTTTGTTCAGCTCTGAGTGACTTTCATGCAGACAAGTTATTGTTTGTCAGTGCGTGAACATGCTATTAGAGGAGGAGTGACCTTTGCAATCACTGCATATGATTCAATGGGTTGGTGCATTAGCACAGAGGGTGATTAGCCTATCACCATCTCAAAGCCCTCCCCTGGATGTATGACCAGTACTGTAGCAGCCTAGAGAAACACATTGCACTGCATGCAACGCCAACCACAATTAACTCGTCAGAACAGGATGATAGGATCAAACTTTCCCTCTTTATCTCTGGAAGTCTTTGCTTATTTTTGTCAAATCAGAATGTTAAAACGTCCTCATAATATAAATGGTTTCCATTATGCCAGCATCTAAGTAGAATCCCTCAGACATTAGAATGAAGCCATAACTAAAATGAGGGATGATAAGAGCCTCTCCTATGTCCCAGCCAGACCTTCTGTCCTGCTCTGTCCTGTCCTGTGACAAACCATCTCCCCAGTGTCTGTCCGGTAAGCAGAGCGGGCTCTGAGCCAAGTGGAGTGTGGATGCTTGCACATGCTTTGATGTCAAGCTGAATGGAGCAGGCGAGTATGAGTCATCATTGTATGGAAAGGACAGCCTTGCCTTTGGAAAGCACACATTCAACAACTGAAAAATGTTTCTGTCTGCACTGATACAACAACACCGCAGCAAGCTACAACAACAAAACCTCAGCAATGAATAAAGGACTGGCCATTGTTTCATGTCCAGTATATGACATTGTTCAGCTCTTGAATCTCATGTTTAAAAATGAAACTAAATCTAAAGCAATATCTCCCATCAAAATCAGCATGACCTCTTGATGGACTGCAATCTTGGTTTGACGTACGCATAAAATATGACAATCAATTTAATCCCCAAATCAATACCACATTCAATTCTGAAATGTCATTCCATTAGCATTTACTTCCAGAGAGTCAAAGAAAACTAGGGGGATATATCCCTGATTATTGTACAGGCAGAGATGAAAATATCAAGTAAATAAAAACAATTCTGAAATACCTGCATGCTGTCCAAGTGGTTCTGTATATGCATAAAACACACACCAATAACACAGTGAAAAGAAAAGAAGCACAATTCCACATGAACACTCACACACACCTTGAAATCAAAACAGAAGATTTTCTGTAGCACTCATGCAAAATCACTTGTTATTAACAATAATAAACAACCACAAATATCAAAAAATATAATGATCAATAATGATGTACAGCATGTGGATATAACACTGTTTGAATATACTGAATACACATTTACAAAAACACAATAGCTAATTTGTCATGTCAAAAGCACTGTTACATTCTTATTTTGCACTTGCTAGTTACAGTGAGGGAAACAAGTTTTGATCCCCTGCTGATATTGTATGTTTGCCCACTGACAAATACATTTTAATGGTAGGTTTATTTGAACAGTGAGAGACAGAATCACAACAAAAAATATCCAGAAAAACGCATGTCAAAAATGTTATGAATTGATTTGCATTTTAATTAGGGAAATAAGTATTTGACCCCTCTGCAAAACATGACTTAGTACTTGGTGGCAAAACCCTTGTTGGCAATCACAGAGGAGAGGTCAGACGTTTCTTGTAGTTGGCCACCAGGTTTGCACACATCTCAGGAGGGATTTTGTCCCACTCCTCTTTGCAGATCTTCTCCAAGTCATTAAGGTTTCGAGGCTGACGTTTGGCAACTCGAACCTTCAGCTACAGATTTTCT